TCTCTCTCTCTCTCTATTGGTGGTGGATATATTGATATGTGTAATCGATACTTTGTGAGATGGATATGTTGGTTGTGTGGTATATATATTGAATGTTGGTTGATCTGATTACGTGTCCCTACATTATAAATATATTATACGTCATATCATACGTCAAGTTTTATCTCTAACTCAGTTCCAAACTAAAATCAATCTGACAGCTGTTCATCTATAGCGGGCTTACGATCTTCTCTGCTGTTTTGGACACATGTCGTCTGTTAGAACGGCTGCCAGGGAGCACATTAACAGATATCATAATAGAATAGGAAAACTGTTTCCTATTCTGCATCAAATGTGATACTTAAACTGCAACCAGGATGATATTTGTTCAATGCCACAAATCCTCAAAGAAACTGATTGAACAAAGCAATTTCACATCAAAGACTACAACTTTTCCTCGTCCCTGAACTCGACGTCAGTCAAGGGCTTTTCGACTCATATCCTACATGGAGTGGTCTCTTGATTTCAGACATCGAAACGTTAATGTCTACTTAGAGTATTACAGCAGCTGTTCTATATACTCTAAAGACCACCTCAGTCAAGCTGATATAGTCCAGAATTACCCACCTTTACTTTGTTTGTACAGACCTTTAGCGTCTCTCTTAAATCTATGACGTAATGATGACGTAACGTTGACATTACAGGCGGGACCCTGCCGTGTCCCCAAACTAAAATAGTGCCATAAACGATAATTGTCATTAACGCATTTTTATTAACCTGTCATTTAAGAATATATACGTTTCGGAGATGAAGATCGAAAAGTGCGAAGAATTGTAATTGTCGTCTGCTGACCGGGTCAGGTGTGACGTAATGAAGATTAAGCTAGCGTATAATCTCGAGCAGTATTTGCGAATTTGGAGGACAGGTTGACTTGTAAAGTTAAAGACAGACGACATGTCGCGCCATCAACGTTTGTAAGCTTGGTGTGGGGATCGAGTGACTACATCCTTCTGCTTCTTCCGGTGTTGATTTTCAGGTCTCTGTCATATCTGGGAAAGATAATCCGTTAAAAGCTTGCTGCGACCGAGGGTCCTTTCTAATGTAAAAACGTGATAGATGTTCAACAACAAAGATGATTATCTGATGAAAAAATAATCATCACCAAAGCAGACATGTACATTTATAAAAATAGACATCTGCATATGCATGTATTAAACGTAATCCGTTCAATCCAAGCCACTGTTGTATAAAATGTGAAAACGTTTCGGCACAAAGTTTCAATGTGTTAAAATACAATTTGCCTTCTGCAACTGAGAAAAATGAAGTAAAGACCATCAATAAGTACCCAAATTATGAAAGCACATACTCTGTTGTAAATAATATACATAGTCCTTTGTGTATGAATGAATACTTGTATATATTTGTGACAGTAACGTACCTCGTATACCACTGAAAGAGGTCTGAATGTGATAAAGTTCTGTTGTTTTTCTCTTGACGGTCAAGGCTTAAAGGTGTGCCATAATAATACCATCAGAATAATCATTGTCATCCTGGTCATGCGCAGTGTAAACACGATCGTAAACATTGTCCTACATACGCCGCCAAGGTGAAACAAACAACGGGTCATCTTCATACAAAGAAAATACATAAATTGAGACAGCTCCTTTCATTGTTTACAGGGGAAAAACACGAGACATAGAGGACATTATGCTGAACTTTGGGTTTTTTTATATGTTACTCAAATTTGACATTTTGTACACAGTTAAACCGTGTTGTTCCATGGGTTACCGTTCCTGTGATTAAGCGATGTCATCTTTGAGGAGACATGGGTGTAGAGGAAGGTCCGTTACATCTTATCACGGAGTTACAAACACCGCTTTGTCGAAGCTACGGTTGTATCGAAGTACAAGCATGGTCCTCATTCCTTATTTAGTCATTTTGCGGTTCTGTTGAACCTCGGATCGCACGAAGTACTTGTGTAGATACCTTCACCTTCGAGACAACGGTACTTGATTGTAGTTACAGGAAAGCGGGGTGTCCAGAATAATGTTGTTTTATTATACGACAGATGTTTGCTTTCAAATATCTGCCAAGCATTCCCATATCAAAGGTGACGAGTAACTAGACACCACTGGTATGTTGATATATAGTTATTCATTAGCTATATAAGATGTGATGAGTCATAATGTGTCAAACGCATTAGGATATCCTCTTAACAATTCCCAATTCCCAATAAATAATGATAACCGGAAAATTCCCAAGCACAAATATGTAATTTGTAATATATGACATAAAGAGGAAACCCTTAAATGCTACTTTCTCAATATATTATGTTTCACACGTGTATACATTAATCATTTAATATATGAATCGTGTATTTACATGCACCAATGCATTACTTTGACATTTATTGTTGCTGACGAGTAAGTGTAGTGTCTTGTTTCAATTGTGTATTAATTTTTTAATGATAGATTTTTTTCTATATCAGAGAAAATCAGGTTTAATACACCCGTTTGTTACACTCAACCAGAAGCTTTGTTGCTAGTTATGTGAAATAATAAACATCATTGCATCAATTTTAATAATTTCGACAGACATTTATTCAAAGTACTACCTCAATAACTTCGTTACATTGTGTAATTGAACCTGAAGATATACTTCTCAACAGAAGTTCAACAACACCCGGTTCTTTCATGTGGCTATCGTTACTCTAATCGCTGTGACATTACAAACGATCTATAGCTGTATGAAAGAATTGGGCGTTCTTTATTATATAAGACTATAAAAGACTACATAACATTTGAACGTTACTTCCAGCCTATGTTTATATCCCAATTCTGAATTGAGACCGGCCGCTGGGAGGGCATAATCAGAGAAAAAAGAACTTGTAAGTTATGCGACTCCCCCGACAATAGCTGATGAATTTCATTATTTACTGAGATGTAGTTACTTTAATGATATAAGACTAAAGTATATTCCTTCGCAATATCTTAAATGGAAAAAATCGGGTTACCTTCAAGCAACTAATGTGTACAAAGAAAACCACAGAATTGAAAAAGCTATCGATGTTTATTAATAGTATACTAACACATTTTAAATGTTGTTTTTTTAACAGTGCGACATCTTGTCATTGTTTAGGTAATCCGCTGCTTTTGTACTGTTGTACCACCGCTGGGTGGTTGATAGAAAATAAAGGAGTTGAATTTGACTTTAGCTTTTTTGAGTGGCACAAACCAAGAATAAGTGGCAGCTGATGTAGTCGTTAGTAATTGCGGTTGTTTCCATGGTGTTTCGGAATGGTTTCAATCAATTTCTAAGACGTGCCAACAAGCAAATATTATACCGGACAACACGTGGACGTATAGTGGAGGTATCTGAACCAACTATAGGGGCGCTAAGCATCACCTGTATTGACGGCTTGACAACGTTACAAGGTACACCTCCCATTCAATTACCTGTGTCAAATGGGTAAATATTACAGGTATGAGTGGGTTTTTTTTTCTCGTAATGAATTAATTAGTTTTTTGACGGCCGCAGTGCAGACATGCCATTTGTAAGTGACCCATAACGTCAATAAATTTATTCATTCACGTCAAATATATTGATAACGTCATTTCAAATATGCCAAACGCAAACTATTTTTGATAATTGAAGCGATGTATATTAACCTATCGACAAGACAAGGAAAGGACCCTCCAAGCTTTATACGTTAACATTATACGTGTATATCTTAAAGGGAATATATCTGTTATCCGCTTTTACACAAGTGTTATATCATGACGGTAATATATATCCGTTATACACTGTTGAGGTTTATATCATCAAGGTCACGTGTCTGTTGTACGGGTTCTATGTCATGGGTTGTATTATACGGGTATGATATCACGAAGTTGTCATGTCCGTTATTCGACACAAGTTTCTGAAACTGAAGTTCACTGCTGGGGTGATGTATTTTACGATAACCTTGCTGTTGATACATTTACAGAGAAACCCCATTAATCCGGACGGTGAACCGTCATTTGGACCAGAGTTTCAAGTTTATCATGAACCAATTATGGATATATAGTTATATCCCTGAAAATAGTGTATGCTTTTCAGAAATAGAAGTCCTATGTTCCCAGACTGTACATTTACCATTAAACTTTCAGCACATTCATTCATCCATCAACACGTCTATTCACTATTACACGTTCATCACATCTATTCAACATTGTACATTCAGCGCATCTGTTAACCATTCTATATTCCGTGCATCTATTCACCATTAAGCATTCAAACCATCTATTCACTATTCAGCACATGTTTTCATCATTAAACATTCAACACATATTCACCATGAGGCATTCACATTAACATCCACACAACACAACACAACATCCTAAGATATAACCACCCGTCACGCTATGAAATATTGATACTCTGTTGTAGAGACGTAAAGTGTTATTCCATGTCCAAATATACATCCCAAGCTGTGCCTCTGGAGTAGGAAAACGTTTGGCTGTCCTTGTCTCCTCTGTGTCTCAGCAGGTTACATCCGATGTATATATACCTAAACTGCATGTCGGGAATTTACGATCAATGTCACCCGAGCAATATTTACATTGGCCTGGTGTAAATATCTATAATTTTGGTATTTGTTGGTGGTGTGAGCACGCGCGTGCGTGTGTGCGTGTGTGCGTGCGTGCGCGTGTTTGTGTGTTTATAATGAAATGACCAAGACATACTGGGTTCTCGGTCCGAAATAATGTAAATATGAAGATAAAACATCAACGGCAGAGTATGATTTTCAATTATCCCCCCTTACAGATTTCACTGATATAAAAGGCAAATAGACGGTGTAAATCATATGACGGGATCGACCTAAAATTGGAGATGAGACACAGTACGTGAGTAGGGTAAGCATGTACTGGCCTACAATACAACAGGATAAATATAAAGTAACCATGGTTACTAAAATACCAAAGAGAACACATGGAAGATATATAAATATACACATGATTTATTCATAAATATATTCACAGTGTTATATCACATGTTTAGGTCGTTGATTATGAACATGACATGGAGCTACAACAGCATCTTGTTCACAATGAGCAGTGACGTGGAATCTGTTTTCATAGGAAACAATTTCCCTCATCACCGATAGTTTACGAATGTTTGATATACAATGAAGCATATGATAATAATGTGTAGTATGCATCCCAAAATAAATTCAGGACAAATGTCATGTACACGTCATGTTTGTACACATGTTACATTTAAAGACATATTACTTGTTCTAATAATCATCATAAACCTGATGATAAATCAGTTTATCCTGAATCCGTCAAATTTATAAGGTATGTCACAGTTATAAATATATACCTTGCTGACTTTCGACGTGAAAGCTAGTTATTCGTCGCTCCGTGAAACGGACGAGTCGTCGGAACTTCTTGCACAAATTAATTATGGCACAGTTTCAAAATGGCAGTTCGTCATTGCAAATATGGAGTACATGTAATACAGATAAATTACAAATAGGTATAGTTGGGTTCTATGTTTACTCCCTGCCACGATGAAGGAATCACATTGCCTTGGCGCACTGCGAAAGAGTTTGGAAATGTCTGATGGAATCCGGGCAATGATGTTGTGGCAGACGACATACCGGATATCGTCTGCTGATTGGGGAAATGGCTCTCAGTTTCCAGTGAAACAGGTGCGATTTGACTAAAATTCAGATGGAAATGTTCGTTATTGTGTTGTGGTTGTTGTTGCTGTACGTGATGATGGTGATGAGACTGTTGATGTTGCTGGTAGATGTTGAAGTTGTTGACATTTTCTTCATTGGACTGCATGAAATTTGCCGCCATATTTGAGTTTGAGCACGGCCATGACGGGCTTCGGGTTGAGAGATCGGGGGACGAACTGCAGTAGGTTTCCGACGAGTCTGAGAATGATCTTGGACTACAAGTCCCAACACTCCCGGGGGTCCGGGCTGCATCACGTGGGGGGTCCTGCCAAGACCCCGATAACAAATCACTAATGTCGGTCTGTCCCAAGATACTCTCAATCGTGTCCGCGGGTAAGGACGGGTATGAGGTTAATGTAGGATCGAACCCTAATGTATTAAACGTCGCTAACGCCAACGGTGGCATCACAGGGTCGACAACATCCAAACCATCTCGGTCCCCAGTTCTTGCTCCCGGCTCCGTGAAAAATGATGCTGGTAAATTTCGACTTCTCAGTGATTGTTTTGGACCAGTTGTTTTGGGTTGATCAGTACAACAACGTTCATGGAGCGTCCGGGGATCAAACAGAGCTTGGAGAGACTTAATCTGAACACCAATCTGTGACGTTTCTTTCCTGTTAGGTTTGCTCCCAGAAGACACATTGTTCACAACACCAGTTCTGCTTTCTCCAGAGCGCCTCGGGGAGCCACCGCATCGTTTCAGTTGCTTCTGGAGGTATTTTCTGTGATTTACCTTCCTTTTCGACTTTGACGGTCTGTCCAGAGCAAGTTTGATGTTACTTGAAGCCATGTCAACAAAGTTCAACAGATTTGCAGTGTCATCCCTTTCCTGCATCTCAGAATCAAGGTTCACGGATGGTGATGACATCAAGCTGGTCATTTTGAAACTTCTTTTTCGGGATTCAACTTGAACCTTAGGTCATATGTCCACAAGTCGTATGACAGCACAGCCACTTGGCCAATTTGAAAGATGTGACTTCCAATTTGATCAAGGCGTAGTTACACATCCGCCATGTCACAAAATAAGTTTTAAGAACCACAGTGTTAGACCGAACCAGGAAAATCCTCGAGGAAAGTGCACGCCTGAGCTGAAGTTATGCCGCCGGGTATTAAGTGATCCAACCTGGTGTTGACTTCCCACAACGTATAAATAGCGATGGGTGGAAATAAATTAACCTTTCAAAATAAGATTATTGTAAGCGACCACACTAATCCTAGGTCTCTTTATGGGACCGTCTGTCAACCGGATTGGTCGTCCAGATTTGGCGATCACTCCTCCTCGGCTTGCTTCACTATGTCCTTTTCTATCCCAACACCGCAATGCAAACACAATGTGACGCTTGATTGACTGGCCCAAGTGTAGATCCGGGATGGAGATTGTCGTCTGCGACTCTCGTGCTCACGCCTGCTGTAAGCGGGTAGAGACTAGTCATGTGGTCTGTTTGTCGTCTGCTCCGGTATTTATCCAGGATGGGTGGGGCTGAGTTGATGAGAGCTGACTGAATTGGGGTGGTCTCTGCTCAGGTCGCCCGAGGTTAAGTTAACAGTGAATAATTACCTGGCCAATAGCTGTGACCGTGCGTGTCCCTGAGGTAGAGTGACTCTGACCGTTATGTGGGTTATTCTGAACATAACGAGTCAGCCCTTAACGCAGCAGGGAGGCACTTTGATCGACAAACATAGGTCTATAAAATACGTTACCTCCCCCACAAAACTACACAGACGCTCCACAAAAGGTCGAAAGTTAGAGCTATGCGGGGTTTATTGCCTCGGCAGTGGTATTGATAGTGCTTCCAATAGTATCTGAAGACACAGAGGCACAGCTACTGCTCTAATAAGAGTCCTCTTAACACACAGTATCTTTCTGTAAGTTGTAAACGTAGCTGGACCTCGTCCTGGCAGTGTGCCTGGATTAAAGACCTCTGTAATGTCTTCTTAAAGGATTATATACAAAGCGAATGACAGTGGACGCGTAGACACTAAAATAGCCATACGTACTTAGAACCATAAGTGAATACATGGTTTGATCACGACTAAAAATAAGTCTAAAAGGGAAGCGCTCTCGAAAACTCCTGGAAAAGTGTTATTTATACGAGGATGAGGGTATAGCACTATATGAAGAAGGAAGGTAGGGTGTTTTAGTAGAGTGGGGTTGAGGGTAGGGTTGTGAGGGAAGGTGGGGACAGGCTGCGGGTGGGGACAGGTTTTTAGTACGAGTGAGTGAGTATGGTTTCACGCCGCTTCTAGCAATATTCCATCAATATCAATGCGGGGGACACAACAAATGGGCTTCACACATTGTAACCATGTGGGGAATCGACCCCGGGTCTTCGATATGACGGGCGAACGCTTTAACCACCGCCCCTTTTAGTACGAGTTCGAATCCCCACATGGGTACAATGTGTGCAGCTCATTTCTGGTGTCCCCCGCCGTGATGTTGCTGTAATATTGCTAAAAGCGGCGTAAAACCAAACTCACTCACTCACTTTAGTACGAGTGTGGGCATATGATGCTAAAGGAGGGAGGGTGGGGTGGGGTTGAGGGTAGTAATGTGAGGGAAGGTGGGGCCAAGGGGATACATAAGCTAATCCGTAACATTGTGCCTCACTTTTTAAATTTACACGAGGTAGATCAACATTTCCAAAGGTACTGTTCTCCAGTACACACTGAACGTACTTAACGTTTAAGACTCTGTCTGTCCCATACCTTTACTTACGTTTAGCAAGAAATGTTACTGTTTCATAAACTACGTATTATTTCCTTATGATGTTCCCTTTGTTTGTGGGTGTAGGTGGGTGCCGGCTGGTGTATGTATGTGTGGAGTTCGGTGGGAGGGGTTAAGTCAACCAATAAGCACGTGTGAATGGGCACTCCGGCAACCGGAGGTAAATATATGTATACATGATGATGTATTTGACTAGAAAAGCGAATGGGAAATATCGATCCACCCAACGTCATACAGAGCGGATCTATATACAAACTACACAAGGAAGTCTTCTGTCACTACAAGGATATAGTATTGTATGCGATACCTTCAATAGTTAGGGTCAGGGTGTAGCGAAACGGGGCGGTGGGGTAGCCTAATGGTTAAAGCATTGGCTCGTCACGCCGAAGACCCGGGTTCGAATCCCCACATGGGCACAATGTGTGAAGCCCATTTCTGGTGTCCCCCGCCGTGATGTTGCTGGAATATTGCTAAAAGCGGCGTAAAACCAAATTCAGTCAGTCAGTCAGTCAGTCAGTGTAGCGAAACGTGTTAGATTGTCTCTTCCGGGTAATTGTATAAAATGCATCCTTCAACGCACAATGAGACTGTAAACTTGGCTACCGTGTTCGTTTGTTTAAAACTATATCTTTAATTCCATGATTTATATTTCACATGTGGAATAGGTTACTCTTGTACGCCGAAGATGAACTGAAACTTCACAACAAAACAAAAGTAAAAAGAACGGAAAGTGTGTTCGTGTGAGTTTCTGTTTGAGATGTACTACAGATTCCTTCCTTAAAGGACCGGTGGGGTAGCCTAGTGGTTAAAGCGTCCACACGCCGATGACCCGGGTTCGAGGACCCACATGGGTACAATGTATGAAGTCCATTTCTGGTGTCCACAGCCGTGATATTGCTAGAATATTGCTAAAAGCGGCGTAAAACTAAACTCACTCCCCCCTTCCTTAAATTACTGATGAATGTCCCATTGTGTGTGACATGTGCTTAGTTTGGACTGACTGACTGACTGAGTTTAGTTTTACGCCGCTTTTAGCAATATTCCAGCAATATCACGGCGGGGGACACCAAAAATGGGCTTAACACATTGTGCCCATGTGGGGAATCGAACCCGGGTCTTCGGCGGGACGAGCGGACGCTTTAACCATTAGGCTACCCCACCGCCCCGCTTAGTTTGGAAGAACTATGACAAAATGGGCATTCATTGAAAACTATATACGGCTACTCCCAAAGGTTTTATTTCAACTAGTTCCAGTTCAAATGACGAATTCAATAAATTCAAATTGGATAAATACTAAAATTTCTTTATGACTGTAGTAAAAACCTTTATGTTCACAGAAAGTAAATGTACTGAAAATGTCTAAATATATATCACTAATATGTACAAAATCTGTAAACAGGAAATAGTTCTTCACGTCTACCGTCATACAATCTCTGGTGTAATACATCACTGATACTAGTATACAAGATGTGGTCTTGTTCACCATGGGTGGCCCCTATGAGAATGACTTTTGTCTATCGTTTTGTATGCAGAGGGTAAACCCGGTCATTCTGGAACACTGAACAGTGTAATAACAGGGCAGTGAATTGGGTCCTACCATAACATCAATACCTCTAAAGTGGGAGTACAGGATGACAGTGTTACAAAATACTTATTCATTATAACAATCGTAACTCAACACGCCACACCCCCTTTTTAAGATTAATGTGATATTTCAACAACCAGAAAGGGATTGGGGTAAAACTATTTTCCCACGTACTCAACAAACGTTACTTTCTTACTTTTCTTCTATTTTATGATATTTGCATTATTTTATTCTTGTTTGGGTACTGTCCCCTACACAGTCCAATACCTGGGGTACATATTCATAAAACTCCCTTTGGGCTCTCACAATAGGTATCGGGAACAACCGTACTTAATTCCCACGACAGAAGCCGGTGGTGAAACCCCGTCCGAGTCCCCTCCTTGATGTGGTCGACGTGCGGCTGTTTGTTTAGTCATTTATCATGCATCTCATTTTGTCGTTCAAGATGGTTTTATAAAGGTTCCATTGTCTGTCCACCATCAGCAGTTGCTGTGATTGGACCAGCGCCACAACTCGTGACATATACACACACAGCTTGACGTGGTAACCATTGGTCTGAATGACCACCAGGTTGATATATGGATATATAGATGTATGCATAAAGATTAAGAGTCACAACAAAACGATCCACGAGACTGTATGGCAAAAATGAATGACCAATCGTGAACACTGGTCAAGGAAAGCAAGAAAACGTGTTTCTTCAAAGTCTACCAAATGTCTACAAGATCGAAGACTATATTCCTGTAAGGGTCAATTTAGGAATAGTTCCCGGTGGAATGAAAATTACAACTGCTGCTCAAAAGTTGTTGGATGACGGTTACACCATTGAAGGAATTAGTAAAACTTTCAAAATGTTTCATTGTAGATATGTGGAAAATGCTAAGAGAATGCTAACAAATTTGACACGTTTGTGACCAAAATGACGTAAGATGTACATCCCGGTGTCTTGCTGTTTTTTCAAGTGACCATAAGGACGAGGAGGGGACTGAACCACCGACCTTCCATTCTCAGTCTCTGTGAACTATCAAATCTTCTCAAACCACGAACAACTAAATATAAATACAATAAACAATAATATAGATTTTCGACCAAATATAGACCCAGAGACACATCGTCTCAAACGATAGCTAATTCTCAAGGCTCTCTTGCACATCTTGTATTTCAATCACTTATGAATTCTCAAACTTTCAAAGGAAATTTAAACTGACCAAATATTTAAAACGTAGTATTTTTGTAATTTTAAATTATGGCTAGATTTGACTGCAATCGCTCGTGGTTGAAGGGATGGCGTAAATCCAGCTAGGGTCCATGCAGGTAGCAAAGGTACTGTAAATCCCCATGGTCCTTTATATGGTGATCTGATTTCAGTTACTGGCGATCTATAGCTCATTTTTATGTTGCAATGTCCTAAATAGTATATAATTTTAAGTTATATGCTAGTTTTATATCTCTAACTGTGACACGCCAGTTGTTTTACTGTCCTTTGGAGACAGATTTTATCAAATAAAATTAAAAAGTATTTACTGTTTTAGTCGCGATATGACTGAAATATTGCCAAAGTGACTTTAGATTTCAACTCATTCACTCATTCACTTATGAATTCTCACGAAAGCAGAAGGATGGCTAATATAAAACACAAATTCATTCGAAATTTTATGTGCAATGAAATACGTATCCCACTGATGTACAGCGATAAGCTTATCAATATAAAGAAAAACATGGCTTTATCTGTAACGGAACAAACGTGTGTGGCAAAGGTCCTTCATCAATTGAATATACCGATGGCGGAAGAGCTATAGTGATCCGAGATGTGTCGCGCCATCCAATCGCTCAGACCTATGAATATGATTAAAAACCTTCCTCTGATAGTCATTTCGGTCTCCCAAAAAAATAAAATAGCCCTGGGGGAATTGCTTTTTAAAATCGGTTTCTTTTGCTGAAATGTTCTTTCACCTCAAGATCAGGTTTCTATAGAAAGACGATTTTTATGCATCAAACACACGCCTTTTCGCGGGAGTCAATTACGAATGTTAAAATTAACTTATCAAGAACCTTGTGCGGGTTTGTATTTCCATCTCTAGTTAGAGTCTGGATACAGGGG